CACGAAGTCCGAAGCCATGGACTGCCAACACTCCGACGGAGTCGGCAGTGACTGCAAGGGAGCCTGCGCGAAAGGCGCAGGCTTCACACGTTGACAAACCTCGCAAGCACGGACGTACTTGCGCACCCATTTGTACTGGTGGGCCCAGTAGAAGTCTCGCGTGAGAAGAATGTATGTCTTCTCACGGCCCGGATGCCCCGCGGTCGGTGCATCGTGATACTCGTACATGATCCTGAGTCGCAGGTCATGGTCATTGGGCACGACAACGCGGTCCGCGTTGTCGTCGACTGCACTGTAGAGTAATAACCCGTCGTGCACCCGATAACGGTGTGCACGAGCACGAAGATGCTTCGGCAGCTTCTGACGAGCTTTGTCAGAAGGCGCTGAGCCATACGCCAGCAAGAGCTTCGCGTCCGCGTCGTGCGCGTACGCGACCTTCACGTCGTCCAGCAGTGACGACGTTGGGGTGCTCGATCGCATGGCGTCAATGGCGTTGACGTCGGCATCAGTCATGGCGTAGTCAGGTCGACGCGATAGCGCGTCGGTCACCACATTGAGTCTTTCGGGTTTGTACTCAACCCGGAAGATATACTCTGCGAAGAATGAGAGCCATCTCGCCATCCGTTGCGAGATGTGCGGCGACTTCACAGCTGTCAGCATCAACGCGTGGTCCGTATAGACCACGAACGGTTTGCTTCCGAGTAGATACACTCGGAACTTCGTGAGTGCGTACTTCATGACAAGGAGCTCCTTGTCATGTACCGGGTAGTTGCGCTCAGCTAGCTTCAGCTGACACGATTGATAGTAGACCACACGATCACGTCCCTCGTGATCATGCTGCATCAACGCACATCCGATTGCGAAGTCGGATGCGTCACACACAACGTGGAATGGGCGATCTTGGTCGGCCACCGCCAAGATCGGCGCCTCATTCAAGCCCTGCTTGACTGCATCGAAGGCCTGCTGACACTCAGCAGTCCAAACCCACTCGGCGTCCTTCTTCAGGAGCTGGGACAGCGGGCGTATCATGCCCGCGTAGTCCTTCACGTACTTACACAAGTACGTGGCCAAGCCAAGGAACTGCCACAGTTCCTTGACGTTCGACGGCGTCGGCCACTCATTGATCACTCTGACCTTCTCAGGGTCAGGGCGGACACCGTTCTTCCCAACGAGACACCCGAGCACGGGTATCTCGCTCGCCCCGAAGATGCACTTCTTCAGGTTCGCATAGAGCTTGTGCTTGCGCATGAGCGCAAGCAGCTTCCGGAGATGCACCTGGTGCATCTCAACATCGCTCATCCCGTCCGCAGCCCGGCTGTGGACGAACACATCGTCGAAGTAGCTCGGTGCGAAGTCGCGCACCGAGCGCAACAAGTGCGTCACGCACCTGTTGAAGGTCGCAGGGGCGTTCTTCAGACCCTGCGGCATCACTAGCCACTCCCAGAGCATGCCGCTCGGCGTGCTCACAGCCGTGAGAGGGATATCGCTCTCACACATGATGATCTGATAGAACCCATCGCGCAGATCAAGAGCACTGTAGATAGTGCTCCTGGCCATCGAATCGATGATGACATCTTTTCGCGGTATCGTTGTCTGCGCCGGTATCGCCGCATCGTTCAGCTTGTTGTACGCATGAACGATGCGCCAGCCGCCCTGTGGCTTCTTGACACAGAACGTCGGAGCACTGTGCGGGGATTTCGATTCCGCACTTGTCCAGCTTTGCGACGACTCTCAAAGAAGTCGTCGATCGCCTTGACCTGCTCTCGCGGTAGTGGCCACTGCCGCGTGACACAGTACTTCGTGCCCGGCACGAGATCAATCTCGTGCTGGATGCCCTTGTCCTGCGGAAGCTCCACAGGGATCCGGAAGCACGTCCGCGTGCTCCCGTAGAATCTCGTAGAAGGGACTCGTCTTCAGCGAGTCCCAGCTTTGCTCCTCAAAGCGCTCCTTCTTAGTCTTCGCACTGAGAGTGTCCTCGCTCTCAGTGGTGCTCTCCATGAAGAACTGCCTCAGTTCTTCATTCTCGCTCTTCGTTCTCTCGGCGTCCGAGAGAATGCATATTTGCTCGATGCGTCCATCGTGCAAGTCACGCGCGAAGCGCTTCCAGCTCGTGACTGGAAGCGAAGTCAACTCCGACGCTTGCGTCGGAGGATTAGCGAGGGTCATCTCCCTGTACCGGAACCCGGCACAGGTACGCGTCAAGACGTTCAACGTCTCGACGTCCGGCTTTTCAGCCTCTGTCTGCCCGGCAGACATTTTTTGTAGCGTCTGGGCCCCAGGCCGAGACTTGCGCAGCGACCTTCGCATGCGCCGTCTTCTTGTTTTGCGGAGCCCGGCTCCGCATGACTCTTGACCTCGTCCAGGCCCAGCCGTGGGCGGGTGTTCTTCAGTACCGCCGGCGGGTTCATCCCGCGAGCGAGCGACTTAAAGCCCGGCTTGGTCGCCCGGCGCTTCGTCGTGCAGCCCGGCTGCACGACAGCATGCAAGTTTTTCCGGTGCGGGACGTTTGCAACCGTCCGCGCCGCCTGCAGCGTCGACTCCCGGAGTCGACACGCCATCCTTACCTCGACGCCTGCTATTGGCGGAGACCCCCGTTACGGAGGGTGCGTCGGCTCCCCGAGCCGACGAATCAAATTCACCCAAGCCATCGACTCCCGGAGTCGACGGCATTACGTCACCTTGGCTCTTATTATTGGTCAGACCTGATCCAATCAGATTCGCGTCAGCCTCCACGGCTGAGGCGTGTGACTCGCCTGCGTCATCCGTGCCCCTTGAGGCCGGAGACTCTTCTTGATTCGCTGAAAAGCGAGTGTCGACCTCCGAGATCAACACATTTTCTTCATTAGCTGTCGGCGGCAACGCCGACGCTAGCTGCTCTTGCGTGCGTGTTCGCGCGCGCCTGTCGGTGCGTGCGTAGCGGCAACAGGGCCATCGCTCACTGTTCCGCTGTCGCGACCGAAGCGCACGAGAGTGCGCTTCTCCCAATCGATGACCGGATCATGCCGTGCAAGCCACGGCATGCCCAATACAATGTCAACTTTATCGTCCAGATCCAGGACGATAAAGGTCTCGACAAACTCTCGATCTTCATACGTGAAGCGCACGCGTACCATGCGCTTCTCGGTCTTCACGACGGCACCCGTTGCCAGTCGTACCTCCAACATACTTCGAGGTATCTTTAAATCCTCGAAGTCAAGCCTTGATAGACTTCGCAGTCGAGCAAAGTTCTTCGACGCGCCAGAATCTACCAAAGCACGGAGAGAGCCGCTTGTTCTCATCGAGTTCACGTTCAGGATGACAAGGTCAGGCTTGTCGTCTTGGTTCTTGCAGTGAGAATGAATCTCACTGGGGCTGCCGTCCTCAGTGTCGCGTGTCCAAGGTCGACACGCGGAACTGCATTACCAGTAGGGCGCCTCGCGCCTACTGACGTCCAGCGTTTTTTGTTTGGTTGCGACGGTGCCCGGCACCGCCGCGATAGCCACCCTGCTGGTGCACGGGGGCCGTGCACTCCCGAGCAAAGTGACCGACTCTACCGCAACGGTAGCATCGCACATTGTTTCCCTGCGACTGCTGGGGTCCAGCAGTTGCAGCACTCGAGAGGTCCATGGATTCTGGGCCTCCCGTCCTCACTACCGGGCGTGGCTGTGGCCTCGGCACATGTGCATGCAGCTTAGCCTGCCGCAGGCTAAACTCCTCCTGTATTGCAAGAGTAATTGCAGCTTCGAGAGTACTCGGGTACTCACGGAAGAGATAAGTCTTCACAGGTCCATCTCTCAGTCCCTTCATGAACGTGACGACCTTGGTCGCCTCGTCGATCGAATTGGTCACGATGTTCGAGACCAAATACCGTGCTCTCTGAGCGTAAGCATGGACATCGTGCTTGCCCTGCTGCAGGTCGAGGAACTCCGCCCTCGACCGGAACTCGTTTTGCGGGGGCTCAAACGCTTGTCTGAGCTCTTCCTTGAAACCCTCGTACGTGCTGAAGCACGTAGGATCCGAGAGTCGGCGTCCATACGCCCAACTTCTCGCTCGTCCGCCAAGGCATGACATGGCGAACGCAACCTTGGACAACGGGTCGACGATACGTCGAGCCGCAATGGCTGTGTCGAGTTCGACAAGCCAACGGAGGAGAGGTTCACCCTCTCTTCCGACATAGTTGCTCACATTGAGTTTCAGTGATTGCGGGCTTGGTGTCGTCCCGGACGACACCGCGGTAGTAGCAGCAACATCGCGTTGCTCCTTCAGGATGAAACCCAGAGCAACACCGTGTTGCTCTGTCGGCGTTAGCGTACGCAGCATCGTAGCTACAGCCGCCTCACCAATGACTGTTGACAGTCGTTGGAGAGCTTCCCACTCTGGGTCCGACAGGTGGGGACAGTCAGCGCGTGCAACGTGAGTTGCAGGGGTAGTGGAGCTTTCCATGGACACCTCCGTATCCATGGGAAGGTTCTCAGCTCCGCGTTCGTGCGGTGACGTACGAACTCAGGTAGTCGGTCGTTGGACGGACTACAAAGTGCTACCACGTGTAATGGGCCTACTTTGGCTCACTACTTTAGCTTACACGTGTGCGCGTGTATGTGAGGAAACGTAGCTTAGTGTAACTTAGAGTTAATTATACTCGGGCCTCCGAGTATAGATTAATCTAAATAAACGACCCAGATAATGTTTTTAGGTTAAAATGAGAACTGCTATTTTTGTTTTATGTTTCTGACTTCCTCTAAATGTAATATTCTAAACTAGGAATCTGCCAACGGTTGGTTGGCAGAATTCCAATGCTATGCATGTCGCTCATTGGCTAACAGATGCTGCTTTCAGCCAATAGGAATCCTAAGTCTATATGGACCACCCGTCGTGGTGGTCGTAAATGTATGTAGGCTTTGGTGTGTCTACACCAAGGTCGAGAAAGTCATTCAAACCTCTAACAGACGTCGTGTCTGTTAGAGTTACAAGTGACTGTAGCCACTTGTGCGTGTAACACTGTTACACCAGAGGCAGAAGCAATGTTGAAAGTTATGAGGTCGGGGACCTGGCGCTGCTTAACGCTAAGAACATACCTACATATGCAGTGTCAGCCGTCTTCAAGACGAAGTTGCGCCCGCGTTTCATCGGACCTTTCAAGGTTGTGGCCAAGAAGGGCCTTGCGTACACGCTCAATCTTCTGAAGAAGATGCTGACGCACCCCGTCTTCTACGTGGGGTTGCTCAAGCCGCACCAGGACCCGATGAAGGCGCAGATGGAGGCACCGAGTGTGGTGTGGTAATACCACTAAAATTCTCTTCTACCAAAAGGTATTAGAGACACCAACAACACGCTAACCCGCAAAGGTGAGCACTTATTGGATCAAAACCTGAAGACCAGGAACGATCCCTTACACCGGGTCGGTTGCAAGCGCCTCTGTGCACCTTAGGTTATCTTCGGTCAACCCAAAAACCTGTACCACTAACCACGAGCTAAGGCTAGGATACTATGTAGCGCTTTCGCGCAACCCCACTGCAGTCCCTCAGAAAGGAAGGGTACCGGTGTGTTAGGCCTTATACAGGGGGACCAAGGTAAACATCGGTAGGTAGACTAATACACTCAGGGACACTCTAATCCCACAAGTATATACCGAACGATACTCTAATACCGTTCCTGCCTCTCCGGCCACGCCAACTCTTGGCGCTGCCAAGGAAACTCTCGGTCAGTGCACGATAAGCTCCCCGACACGCAGCCGGGCGTGTCCAGGCACTACAATAAGTTAGCTACACTTACCGAGGTCGGACTTGACCCTAGTTGGCTTTGGGGGAAGACTGTCTTTTTATTACTGAGTTTGTGAGGCTCTGGGAGCCTCGTTCTGGTCATCCTTTGACTACTCCTATGTCTCTATACAAACATGAAGTGTGAACGATCGCAACGGGGCGATCCCGGACACATCAAATGACGATCGCGGTCACACTAATAAGTGCGGTCGAAGTACGCAACTAAATGCATCTGTACCTAAAAGTGGGTACCACGAAGCCTCGTTCGGGGTTGTAGTAGGACCCGACGAGGCTCCGGCCACTATCTGTCACTTCAACGAGAATCCTGTCATCCGCCGGTCAAAAGCCGTCGTCTTCGTCTCTCGCTTGACCGCTCTTTCCTCGACTCTTGTTGATTCTCGGGACGGCGGGGCAATCACGTCGAAAATCTTCAATTCCCGATACCACACGAGGGTGACGAGGTCACAGGCCCGGAGGTCGCGGTCGTCGAGGACGCAGTCGCAGGCGTCAAGGGCGACCATCAACGCGGGGACCGCAGGCACAGGCGGAAGAATCGGCGCCAGAGGTGCCGCGGGCACAGCGAGAGCCGCAGGCGCAGGAGGCGCAGCAGTCGGAGCCTGCATGCGGGCCAGGAGGTCGAACTGACCCTGGCGAGCCTTCTTCACGGCGTGTCGACGGTGTGAGCGAAGCGTCGCCGCCGCTCGGGGAGCGCCGCGTGAGTGGGGACGCATCTCCTCGGTTCGGAGAACCCTCCATGGAGTCGTCCACTTCGCTCTCTTCACCAAAAGAGTTCCCTAGGATCCATGATCTGGCGGGTTGGTGCTCGAGGGGAGCTGGGGCTTGCGCGCTGCGAGCTGCGCTTCAGGCATTGCGTCGCAAAGTACTCGAACACCGAGAGCCTGGAAGGCGTCGAGGGTGTGCGAGCGGGCGCTGGCGTTCGCGGAGGTGCGGAGGCACGCAGTGCAGCAGCACGAGAGGGGCAAGGCTCCGAGGCGGATCTCGCGAGAGGCTGTCTGCGGTCGAAAGACCAAAAGGCTTTATGGCTTGAAGTCATGTGAGGGAGCGTTGCGCCGAGAAGTTCTCAGCGAAGTCCACGCGATGTGGATTGACTCGTTAGAGAACGAGGCTTGACGGAACAAGACCCGGAGGTTGACCGTTAAGCGTGAACACCCTTGTCCACGGTTTAGTGGGGGAGGGTGTAACGGGGTTACACGAGAGTTACCCGAAGGGTAACGAAGTGGTTATACACTGTCTAACCTAAATCAGTAGGAGAATCAGTACACGGCTTCAGAGCCACTGATTATGCATATGAATAGGGTTCACTATGCTAGATAGTGAACCGGATACATTTACACCGTAGGCGGCTTGACGCGCTAGAGGAAAATACATTCAGTTTGAGATTCACACAGTTAAGAGTTAAGGGTTGACTCTTGGAGTCCGTAAGATGTACGGACTCGTACGTTCTGGTATTAGAACGGGCTATCTTAAGCTGAGACGCTGTGAGTCTGTTACGTCTTCCTCTGACGCTAAAGCTACTGCAGCCCCCAGAATGGGTCAAATTGACCTGTAATCTTTGGGGCAGTTATTTTCCCAAAGTTGGGACTTTTGTGGCGGGGGTACCCTGTCAGAAGCGTCCCCGTGGCCCAATGGATAAGGCATCCGCCTACGAAGCGGGAGATTGCGGGTTCGAGTCCCGTCGGAGACTTCCATTTTTGGCGACACGACTTTTTCGCGCGAAAAAGGTGGCAACACCATTGCAGTGTCCAGACCGGTATTGCAGACTGTTTGGCCGTGTTCGGGCGTCGTTTCGGAGTCGTGTAGACAGTGGGACGCGTGTGTGGACCACACCGCCATACCTACAGACACCCTACCGTGCCCAGAACGCACTTACAATACCGACACGGGGCCTGCGAGTCAAGCTACAGATGCTGAAGTCCACTGCCTTCGACTATGTCTGTCTACCGCCACTTCTGTCTCTTCTGTCTACGTCTAGACGACGTGCACAGCCTGTCTGCACCGTGGAGCAGTGTCTACACCATTTCGTACGCCCACACCACCCACCACGTCACCTTCAACCCCTGTCAGCCTTCAGCCACTGCCGCCGACTTGATCATCGCCTCTATCACCTTGCCTCCAGTATGGCCAACAGACCGGGGTTTCAAAGCCTGCTGCAGGCAACGCTTGTCGGTCAATATGACCTGACATGGGTCGAATGACATGCCAGGACTGCTGTACGGCCGCTTGCGTCGGCAGATCGAGTCAAATTGACCTGTAATCTTTGGGGCAGTTATTTTCCCAAAGTTGGGACTTTGTGGCGGAGGTACCCTGTCAGAAGCGTCCCCGTGGCCCAATGGATAAGGCATCCGCCTACGAAGCGGGAGATTGCGGGTTCGAGTCCCGTCGGAGACTTCCATTTTTGGCGACACGACTTTTTCGCGCGAAAAAGGTGGCAACACCATTGCAGTGTCCAGACCGGTATTGCAGACTGTTTGGCCGTGTTCGGGCGTCGTTTCGGAGTCGTGTAGACAGTGGGACGCGTGTGTGGACCACACCGCCATACCTACAGACACCCTACCGTGCCCAGAACGCACTTACAATACCGACACGGGGCCTGCGAGTCAAGCTACAGATGCTGAAGTCCACTGCCTTCGACTATGTCTGTCTACCGCCACTTCTGTCTCTTCTGTCTACGTCTAGACGACGTGCACAGCCTGTCTGCACCGTGGAGCAGTGTCTACACCATTTCGTACGCCCACACCACCCACCACGTCACCTTCAACCCCTGTCAGCCTTCAGCCACTGCCGCCGACTTGATCATCGCCTCTATCACCTTGCCTCCAGTATGGCCAACAGACCGGGGTTTCAAAGCCTGCTGCAGGCAACGCTTGTCGGTCAATATGACCTGACATGGGTCGAATGACATGCCAGGACTGCTGTACGGCCGCTTGCGTCGGCAGATCGAGTCAAATTGACCTGTAATCTTTGGGGCAGTTATTTTCCCAAAGTTGGGACTTTGTGGCGGAGGTACCCTGTCAGAAGCGTCCCCGTGGCCCACTGGATAAGGCATCCGCCTACGAAGCGGGAGATTGCGGGTTCGAGTCCCGTCGGAGACTTCCATTTTTGGCGACACGACTTTTTCGCGCGAAAAAGGTGGCAACACCATTGCAGTGTCCAGACCGGTATTGCAGACTGTTTGGCCGTGTTCGGGCGTCGTTTCGGAGTCGTGTAGACAGTGGGACGCGTGTGTGGACCACACCGCCATACCTACAGACACCCTACCGTGCCCAGAACGCACTTACAATACCGACACGGGGCCTGCGAGTCAAGCTACAGATGCTGAAGTCCACTGCCTTCGACTATGTCTGTCTACCGCCACTTCTGTCTCTTCTGTCTACGTCTAGACGACGTGCACAGCCTGTCTGCACCGTGGAGCAGTGTCTACACCATTTCGTACGCCCACACCACCCACCACGTCACCTTCAACCCCTGTCAGCCTTCAGCCACTGCCGCCGACTTGATCATCGCCTCTATCACCTTGCCTCCAGTATGGCCAACAGACCGGGGTTTCAAAGCCTGCTGCAGGCAACGCTTGTCGGTCAATATGACCTGACATGGGTCGAATGACATGCCAGGACTGCTGTACGGCCGCTTGCGTCGGCAGATTGAGTCAAATTGACCTGTAATCTTTGGGGCAGTTATTTTCCCAAAGTTGGGACTTTGTGGCGGAGGTACCCTGTCAGAAGCGTCCCCGTGGCCCAATGGATAAGGCATCCGCCTACGAAGCGGGAGATTGCGGGTTCGAGTCCCGTCGGAGACTTCCTTTTTTGGCGACACGACTTTTTCGCGCGAAAAAGGTGGCAACACCATTGCAGTGTCCAGACCGGTATTGCAGACTGTTTGGCCGTGTTCGGGCGTCGTTTCGGAGTCGTGTAGACAGTGGGACGCGTGTGTGGACCACACCGCCATACCTACAGACACCCTACCGTGCCCAGAACGCACTTACAATACCGACACGGGGCCTGCGAGTCAAGCTACAGATGCTGAAGTCCACTGCCTTCGACTATGTCTGTCTACCGCCACTTCTGTCTCTTCTGTCTACGTCTAGACGACGTGCACAGCCTGTCTGCACCGTGGAGCAGTGTCTACACCATTTCGTACGCCCACACCACCCACCACGTCACCTTCAACCCCTGTCAGCCTTCAGCCACTGCCGCCGACTTGATCATCGCCTCTATCACCTTGCCTCCAGTATGGCCAACAGACCGGGGTTTCAAAGCCTGCTGCAGGCAACGCTTGTCGGTCAATATGACCTGACATGGGTCGAATGACATGCCAGGACTGCTGTACGGCCGCTTGCGTCGGCAGATTGAGTCAAATTGACCTGTAATCTTTGGGGCAGTTATTTTCCCAAAGTTGGGACTTTGTGGCGGAGGTACCCTGTCAGAAGCGTCCCCGTGGCCCAATGGATAAGGCATCCGCCTACGAAGCGGGAGATTGCGGGTTCGAGTCCCGTCGGAGACTT